AATAACACAAAAAAAAAAATAAATGAAAACTAATATTTGCTTTCGTGCTCTTCCCCAATCTACAATCCACAAACTACCGCAATGTTGTACTGAAGATTGGGAGAGTAAACAATGGCAGCCAGCAACACATCGAACGCCGGTAAACAAACTCCGACGAAAACGGATGTGCAAACAATAAATTAGTCGAACGAATGCTAAACAAACAGGCAAACGTGAGACACAGCCGGAGCGACGGAGACGAATGTTGAGGCATTTAACCATAAATCGGGTCACTAGATACGTTCTATGGTAAATAGGCTTAACACTTAACGGTAACTGTCGCTTTTGGCCTACGGGCGTGAGGTGTGTAAGCCGCCAAAAGCAAAGCAAATTTTTTTCTGAATATTATTGAATGACAGAAAACGCAGTTCAGGTGTGGGCAAACTGTGCATGCAGTGGAGCAACAACTGTTGCAGAGCTGCATGTAAAGTAGCAAAATGTGCTGCAGAGTTGCATGTAAAGTAGCAAAAGTGCTGCGGAGTTGCATGTGAGGTAGCAAAAAGTGCTGCAGAGTTGCATGGAGAGTAGCAAAAAGTGCTAAAAAGTCACATGAAATTGTTAAATTACTAGAGCTGACCAGGCAACGTATTTATTCTCACCGTGTGTAGATTGAAGCAATATCGAAATATCTATCGTCACTTGTAAATTATGTGTATAAAGATAAAGATCAATTTGTCTAATGTCCACAATAATCTGAACTAAACTTCATACGAAAAAATCAAGAAATTTTCTTAGCCTATCTAGAGTAACTAAGGTCGTAGTTCGTATAACCACTCACTGATTATTTTGTACGCATACTCTTAAATTTAGTATAATAATTCCATTTTATGAATAATGTAGAATTCATAGATGTGAAAATGAAGAAAAAGTAGTAAAACATCTTTTCTAAAGGTGCCACAGTCTAGCCAGAAACTGAGCGAAGTTCTTAAAAATTATTACTTGTGTTCTTTTACAGAAGTGTCCAGTGCTACTAAAAAACTGGAAAATTGAAAACTAGAATGCGCTTGTTTAGGACTTCAAAATGGTATCATGTTAACATTTCAAGCCCAAAAGGATCGTGTGATCCATTGTGATGTAATGCACTCTAACTGCCAAAGTTATTTAACTTAACTTAATAGGCCATAAGTTACGTTAATAGACCTTCTGTATTAATACTGTAGCGCTACAACTATACAGACTATAGCTACTCTAAAACATTGTTTCCAATGAAACGGTCTTGCATTTAATATATTTTTCCAAATTAATTTAGCGCGCAGAATCGTTGAATACCTTGTGAACTTAATATAATCCTAGTTGAGTTGAGTCACATTATCAATCGATATTTTTCTATACTTCTATATAAACTTCTATAGAAACATTTCTTATATTAGACACTATGTTAGATATAGATATGTCGTAAACAAATCTATAGAATTCAACACTGACAACGATTTATTAAAGTCTACACATTTGACTCGATTTAGAGAATTAAAACTGATTTGAAAATCGAAATTTGACAGCTATAGTTTGTTAACATATATTATCAGAGTTTTATATGCTTTTAAATACATATGAATAGACTTGGTAAAATTTTTTCTAACATTACATTACTTTATGATACATTATTATGCTTAAATACATAATGGACTACAAAATGGTATGAAGGAATAGGTCCGATGCAATAGTCGCTCTATATTTATTTGCCACTAATTCTAGCTGACCTTATAGAGAGATTGTATTCGGTAAGTTTAAATTATTTTATAGATTGGCGTAGCAGATATAAGTCATTAATGTATACAAATTTTTTTGGTTTTGTCGATTGAACCTATTAGTACCTGTGTGGTTATTTGTTAATGTACTTTAATGGACATCCATTGAAACAGCCAATTTTTTATATAACATGCTTCATTTACCATTTTTTAATCAAAATTTATTTATGAAAATTATCTTAGGATAAATTTATAAGATAGTAGTTTTAAAAAAATATTAAATTTATCTTAAATAATAATTTAAAAAAAAATTATCTATACTTCTGCTTACATTTTGATATATAAAAATAATTCAAAAAGATTTACTCTAAGTAGCCGAAATTATGATAAATACTATTTTTTTTTTTTTTGCAAAATACGAAGATAAGAATTCTTACATATATTTGTGTTATTTAATATTCTGAGTTGAATGACTGTCTTCATGAAGTTCACTATCTTTATGGAGATAAAATCTTCTATTGCCATTTAGCATATTTTATTGTGTTCTCTTACTAGTGCTGGGTACAATCTCTTTTATGTTTTGTATGTATTTACATAAAATGTTCTTATCACAATATACCACCGAAATCGCCTTGCCTTGTACTCCCCATTTAATAATAGGTATGTGGAATGGTATACGAGTAACAATATGTCAAACATAAATCTCTATCTATTGAGGAAACAGTTTATAATTATTTTAAGATCAAGTTTTTGTGTGTTTCTTATAAAATCTAAAAAAATAAGATAAAAATCTTTAGTCAGTTACAGCAGAATATAATTGATTTGAAGAGTACTGCATATTCAAACTGGTATGTTCTAGTATCACAGAAAGTTCGGAAACTAGAGTTTTGAAGAGTCCTCTAATTGTTTGAGATATTGCACCCCAAGAAAATCTTATACACTTTGCTGCGATTAGATGATATTTTACTAATAGGTAACTCTATTTAAAGTTGGTGTTACAGGTTGTTAGGAAGCTAGTGAAGAATGTCAATAAGCCCGTTGCATACATGCCGTAAAAAAAGTTCGCTACGTGGTAGTAGAAGAAGTTGATAGTGATCCTGAAGCGCAAATAGAAATAAAAATAAAAATTAATATGCTATGTTTTATAGCAGTATTTAAGTAGTTTTAGCAATTGATATATACCTGAAGTGCTTTACAACTGCACTTAAAGCAGTCAAGTAGGTTTTATATGGTTTATGTTCCCGATAGAACTATCGTTGATATAATCTAAGTAAAAACTATTTTATACATGTAAAGATTAATTTGCTAAACGTTTATTATAATCATATGAATGGTTTGAAAGCTAATACGTAACGAATATATATACAGATACACATTGATTACTATAGGATGTATAGTTATATATGTATATATATGTATATATATATTTATTTTATTACATAATTGTGCAATGAAAAACATATATTTACTTCATACATGGAAAAATCTAATAACTTGTAAAAATTAACAAGTAACTTATTAGTCACACTTCTCTGGGAATGTAGAAGGTGTGACAGGTGAGTGCTCAATGCTAGTCACTGTTGCAATTGTTAAAAAATTAGTAATATATACCACTCTCTGACATTAAGCATTATTTCATCTGGAAAAATTATGTCAAGTTTAGATAATTTATCCGCACTTTCTCTGTTAAATACATGTAACTTGAGGTACAAATTAGATAAACGTTATCGCACTTTTATCTCTTTAGATGACAAAATATTATTACTTCTGATATCTACTCTACATCTGTAGTTGATTTGATATATATGACGTTGTTCGATGTCATGACACTTTTTCTCACGTCATGTAATTTAATCATATGAATATATTTATTGTTTCATTAATAAACAAATTGGCTCAAGTACTTTTTATAATTTTGGAGATAATAGCAAAGGTCAGCATAGCAGAAAGGATATTAATAAGTCATTCACAAAATATTATTATTTTGTATTTAGAATTCTAATAACATTATGACAATATTAGTTAACTTGAGGTAATATTGCTTAGGTGTGCTGATAGTTAATTATGAAGAATGATTCATTGGTGACGCAATAACTAAGCTGAACTTATAATTTTTTACTTACGATACATAGAAGTCAGTGTCATGTAATGTTTTATAATGAAAAACTATTAAATAAATCTACGAATAATTTAATTTTTATTTACATTATTTGTAGCAAGATTTTCAATATAGTAATTATCAGTAACACAAAATTAAATATGTGAGTAATATATTTGCTGATATTTAAAGCTATGAAGTTTGGGTTTCCAATAGTCGTGTGTCTTGCTAAGATAATTTATATTTTGAAAGACTCTGAAAAACTCAACTTTTCCTTTTGTGGGTTTTTGATTTCTGGAACAAAAACTGATTTCTGAACAATCTTCTGCAAAAGATTTGTAATTAATACTGAAATAATGTCATCTGAAATTTTTTAAAACTGCAATTATAAATTTGTGTTGTGTCGGATGATATAAAAAGTATCTGCAATTTTCATTGATATATTTTTGAACGAACATTTTCTTTATTGAAAATTAATATCTAATTTTAATAAAGTAGATATTGTCCAGGTAACTTAAAAACGTTCAATGTTTGGATATCACATAAGTTATAATAAAAAAATTTCATTGACCGAATAAGCATTAGTGAAACGCTGATAAAACGCTTCACAATCGAGCCATTTTTGAAGCGAAACTTTATGGAGGTTGAAAAACTGATTAAATACGAGAATATTCAACGCAAGCAGTCATGATCACAGTTAAGTTACTCTCCATAAACGACTTTCGTGACTGACAAACAAGGTTTATAGAGTGTTTGATAGGATTGGAAGAGAATTGTCTATTACAAGCTGCTCCGCTTGAAAAAAA